TAGTTTGAGTCGACGTCCAATCTCAAGATTGGATATCTTCTCGTGCTTCTAAGCCAAAATTTGGTCCATTTCGATGCCTGAAAGCTTGAGACAACTTGGATGCCGTTGCCTATTCATTGACCAAATCCCTCACACCATTGTGTTTCCATATTGAATGAGTATTTTGACATTTAGAATATTTAAAACGCAGTGCGCATACAAGTATATCCGATGCCTCAGACTGGGTAAATTCAACCATACTCCTAAATGCTGGCAAATTCAAGCTCACGGGCTGTATTGCACTGTAGCAATTTACTCCAGAGAAACTTGTAGGAATATCCTTCATGGGAAACAATCGTCGAAGTCTTGGTGTATTCTTTATCGGACATCCATTACGATTTTCTGAAGATTTCAATGTGCGCATATATATTTAAGCATTTCGCGCACTGTAAATGTCTCAAGTACAATGTATCCAAAGCGTCTGACGCATGAAATAGTACACACAAACATAGGCGGTGGTGTAAAGCATTCGTTATCGTCACTTCGTCCTGCCGCGACATGGCATTGCGACGAGCAATGCCAGCAGCAATGGATGGGCTCCCCCTCCACTGATCGAGCTCCGTCTTGGATGAAGCGGTGAACTACCCTTTCCGCGTTGTGGTCGCACTTGCGGGCTCGGCTGTGAATGGAACGAAAAATCGTTTTCCATTCATATTTCCCCTGAAAGATAAATGAATTCTCATCTTCGACATCCACCTCACGTCACGCCAGAATGGAACGACAGTGTGTGCAACACACAGGCAAGTTACAGGGGGGGCGGCGCTTCCCAGCGCAGGACAGCGCTGCTTGCAGACTCGTTCTTGTGACCAAAGATATTCCCGGCCGTCGACACGGCGATGCCGAATCCGTTCGCTCACAAGGGCACGGGGTGCTTCCATTTCCAGCGGAGGCACCAACCGTGCACTCGATGCCAGTGTGAGCCAGTGTGGTAAACAAAACGCAAGTCGAAAAACCCATGAGATGGATCGACGCGGTGGACCTGTGCTAGCTTCGCACGATATGCATACGTGGTGTTGTCAATTCCCGTTACGGGTGTCGGCTGGGGGTGGGAGAGGCTTGAGCTGAGCGTCTTCGCAAATCTGAAAGTCGCGCAGCACCGTCAGTGTGTCTTCGAGGTTGCCGAGGAGGTTGACAAGCGCCTGGGTCGTGTCGGCGGTCGTGCCAAGTTCTTGGACCTTGAGGTCGCTTCCAAACACGAACCGCCGATGCAACGGCAAGTGCAGCACGCGGCCCACCATTTTCTGGACCAGCGCCTCGTTCTCCAAGAGGCGGGGGACAAGGAATCGAATCGAGTCACGGGATATGCGTAGATGCAGCGTCGATTCCGCGTGCAATACAACGTTTGGCGCATACGCCGCGACGTGGAGGCGGTGCAGTTCGATCGCGTACGATTCGAACGTGGTCACGTACAGCATGCACTGCTCAAACAGTTTGTCGCGGCCGACACACCCCATGAACACGAGGTCGTCGGTCGTGATGCTCGTTAAAAAGTCGACGTGGGTGCGGTGCTCGGACCGCGCTGGGTCGACGCAATACCCGTGCGCAAACAGGCGAAAGTATTCCTTGCTCAGGTTGCACTCTGGGTCGAGCGTGTGGAGCGAGGGAGGGACGGCGAGGCGCATGACGTCGACGCGGCCCTCCAACCGCGCAATCTCTGTCCGCAGCGTCTCGATCGTGCACTCGAGCCGATCCGTCGTGTGCTTTTGCTGCGCCCGGTACCGGCGTTGGTTGAGCTTGCTGCGGTTGCGCCGCGTGGCTTGTCGCAGCATCACTTTGTTGGCGGCGGCCGCGCGTTTCGCCATTTCCATCTTGAACACGACGTGGTGCATGTGCATCGCGTGGACAGTCCCGGCCACCATCGGCAGCCGCGGCGTGCTCAGCGTCGCCATCACGATGTGGAATGGCCAGCCAGGTGGCCGAACCCACTTACGGCATCTGGCCAATCGCCGATCACTCGGCTGACGACGAGTCAAAAAATCCCGAGGCTGGTCTGGACTATGTTACCGAAAGTCATGTTGCGTTGCTCGCCGCCGACGTGACGAGATCTCGCCAGCCGTGGGACGAAGCATCGCGGGGACGCTTCGTGTATGAAATATGGACGGTGGGTAGCGCTAGCCGAGGCCGGTGTACCCGTGGAGCGTGGTGGGCAGGCCAGATGTCGGTTTGGACGAGGCGAGCGGACGTTAGCACGATCGCGGTTACCCAACACGGCGAGAACCGCCGCACTGGGTTCAACCGTGCCACCCCCATCCCACACACACACAACAAATTGTACCCCAGCCAGAGCTGAACACTTGACCTGGGCCGCGATCGAAACCACGAGCCGTCGCCGTGCGAGCGGACACTCGGGAACGAACGAGAGGGTGGGGTGGCGACCGAAACCACACGGTTCCGAGAACCGCCAACGCTGGCGGCGGGCTGGACGACGCGCTTGTGGAAACCATTGAAATTCGGCTGGGGGTGGTCCCGTAGACCTACGTGCCAGCACGCCGGGCACACCTAGCGCATTTGAATCCATTCGGCCATACACGCCGCGACAATGCGTTGCAAGCAACTCGAAGGCATTCAAAGCAGCGCCGCCGTCGTCGCCCCAAGAATGATTCCTAGCATATATTGCACATCGATCGTCGTCGCTTCGCTTGTTCAAAACCTGACAAGCAACTCGACCTGGATCGGCACTTTGTTCGACCGTGTCATGGCCACGCTGCGGCTCGAAACATCGGACAGCCACACATTGTCCTAGTCGGTGGCAGGCACAGTGTCGTCAGCTTTGCGTTCGCGGGTGTTGTCGACGGTCCGCGACGAGATTTCGCCGCACGGAAGCGTCCAATCCAGCATACGTAGGCGCGAGTCGTCGTTTGCGATTCGAGCGGCGAAGTCTCTGAAAGCGTCGTCGCACTCCAACTTTTATCTGGTGGGCTCCTGAAGCGCGAACGGAGTTGCATGATCTGTGCATATTGCTTCCGTGGCGCATGACAGGTACGCGTCCATGGCGCGCCGGATCTGTAGACAAGGCGACACGTCAAGCGTCGATGTCGCCAATTGGGTGGCGGGTGCTGCTGCCGCCTTCATACAGCAAAATCCATCAACCACCGTGCGAGCATGCATCACAAACTCGGGAAAACTCCGTCTATGGCTTTGCGCCGCTGCTGTCGGCGCAACGTCGCGGTGTTGGATGCGTTCAAGAGCGTGTCGTCGAGGGGGAAGGCGTGTAGCAGCGAATGCAACAACCACGACGAGGGATGGGCTTCGGAAAGCTCTCCTCCGACGCCAGGAGTGCAGAGTGGAAGGCACACGCTTGTCGGAGGGTCTTGCTGAGCTTCCACAGCGTCCCATTCACTGGGCACGTCGCTGTAATCTTGTCTACCTCTGCTGTTCCCGTACGTGGCGGCATGCGCGGATGCTCGAGTTGCCGCTGAAAACTATACAGCCAATCCGATGTCGGGATGTCCAAGGAATGCAATGGGGATTGGATGCATGACGATGTATTTTAACCAATCCAATTGCTCAACTCCAAGAGTCATAACACGCTGACATGGGGAATATTTTGTCCAATCAACGAGGTCCCACCTGTGAAGAGCCATTTTCATTGGGTATTCCGTGTCGTGTTGTGGATAATAAACCAATGGCATCGTTTTGTGGTTTTCCAAACTTGCCGTCAAGCCCCATGGCGGCCAACGTCGTCGTGCCTGCATGGGGCTGTGTAGCGCCTGTGCTGTGCCGCCTGGACGACGCTGAACTGGTCAAGGTGCAGCGGCCAGCACGAATTGGCTCGGAGGCAGCGACTGAATGGATTCCGCTCTCCAAGGTAGACCACATTCGTGAGGAAGATGCCGCATAACCTCCATTCGCCAGGACATTGCCCCAGTCGCATCATCGGCACGGGTGCCAGGCGACAACTTGTGCTTGCACACTGCGGCAGCTCCTCTTGGCCGAATGGTAAGTCCGTTTTGTTTGTCAAGATGTCCTGACAGTGCCATCGTCCAGGCCGCCACAACGGTTGCTGTCGACGTTGGCGACGTTGTGTTTGCCACACCTGCGTTCGCGGTAGCACTAAGTCGTGGTTTCGTCGCGTCGCACTGCCACATGTGCTTGACCAAACTTCGCGGCCGCGTCGTGCAATGCGCAGACTGCAAAGTGGCACGGTATTGCGATCGGGACTGCATGCGCGCCGACATCGACACCCACACGATCGAGTGTGACGCGCTCGTGCAACTTGCTCCAATACGCAGCAACGACCCCGACGCAGCGGCTGCTGATTTACAGACACGGTTGGTCCTGGCGGTGTTGGCCATGGAAGTGAAAATGCAAAATCCATTCGTGATCCAAGACCTGACCACGTACTCGTTGGCGAAACAGGACGAGGCAGATTACTTAGCGGTAGCCAAGACCCTGCTTGGAGCCATCAAGCGCTCGCCGGCGTGGATGACGTCAGCGCACGTTCTGGACGTTTACCGAGCAGTCCGATTCAATGCCCACCCGATCGTTGTCGACCTGGCCTCGCCGTCCCTCGGGTTGGGTCTGTTTCCCGACGCGGCCAAGGTACTTTCTCAACATTCTCACGCGTCGTGTGTGCAGCCTTTTGGGTCGATATCTGGCTGTGATTGAATGCGTGGCTGGCCAAGCGACGTGTGGCTGTGCCGTCCATTGAAAGCTGGCCTGCCAACCTCGACACCCAGTGTGCTCACGGCGCGCATCTGTGTGGCCCTTTTGTCTGTGCATGGATGGAAATCGACTCTGGTCGTTTTCATTCAGTCGAAGTGGAGGAGGGCGGCGAGGTTAAGTGACTGCGTCTCTGCCGTTTTCGGGCGGACGCACACATTGACCGATCCCCGCTCGTCTGTTCACGATTGCGTGCGTTGCTACCTGGCCTGTCCACGTTGTATGGTTGCACGTGCAGTTGCCGCGTGGGGTTTTGTTGGCCGTCGTGCGTCGACTGTATGCATCGTTGAATGAACGCGCTGGGGCATGTTGTAGATGTTCAATCACTCGTGCGCTCCAACTGCATTCCCTTGCTTTAACATCAAGACGCACGCACTTGAATTCCGCGCCGTGACGCCACTGTTGCCTGGTACGGATGGCTCCCGCCGAGCACGCTGTGCTGACCATGGATTTCGGCAGGCACACTTGTTTCGTACTCGTACCTGGACGTGCTGGGGTATTCTCTTCTCCAGCCAAAGCCATCCCGACAGCGCTGCCTCCAGGAAGCATTCGAGTTTGCGTGCCAGTGCAGTCGCTGCTTCCATGAACCGGACGCTTCCGACCAAACCAACGTCGTCGACGCGTGGCTAGCAGACCTCGACCTTGCGCAACAACGGCACGACTGGACTCGGCTCATCGACCTCTGCCATTCCATCATGACGCACTGGACGGCAACACTCGGCCTCCCGGAGACATACCCACTCATGTACGTGCTTCAAAAGAAGATTGACCTCGCGGCTGCCCACGTCCCACATGCCGCACCACGCGCCCCGTGCTCCGTGCCTGCCGCCGACCACATCTTGCGCGTGTGTGGATTGAATGGACGACCTGCAATATAGCTCAATACACTCGATCTACGACATGCCACTGGTGCGAGTAGAGGTTGCCAATGTTGAATGCACAAGTGCTGGCGAGTCAGCGCTGTCCTGGATGGTGCAACCAGTGTCCACTGGGCTTCAAGTCCGCGAGAAATATGCCATGGCATGTTCTCACTCGATTCGATGGCTATCATCGACGGTGCCGCTTACGAAAGTCGGAGGAATTGTTGCAGGGACTCGCGCACTGGCCAAACATGTCGTGTGGAAGGTGGCTCCCGGACTACACCCGTCTCGAGTTCCGTGGCAAACGTTGGATGAGCCCCACGTGTCGTTGGGACGACTCCTTCGCCGCGCCGGAAGCCTGTCCGCAACATGATTCCCTTGGTGCTGATTAAGAGACCACACTCCGTGGGGGTTCAAACCGGTCGTGACGCCACTTGTTGTGATGCGGCAAGGCAGAACATGGCAGCGTAGGATGCGACGGTGGAAAACGCAGTTGCAAAGGCAGATAGTAGCCTTGGCGTTGACCGGCGTCATGGAATTCGAGTTGGATCGTTTCTTGAGAGAATCATGGCGACCATGACACGGAAAATTGCATCGAGCATGGATGTTAGTAAAGCATTTCCTCCACGACGTCTGTCATTCGACGGGCAGCATCGAGGCAAATGTTGTCACAGGCAGCAACATGTCGTCGCCAATCATGGCAATGACGCTCGCGACGTCCATGCGGGCTGCACAGAGATGCAAACGCTCTAGGAACGAGCATTCCACGACGACGGACGGCGAGGGAAATCTTGAGCGCGCTGATGCAACCTTGATAGTCCAGCGCAATGTGCAAAAACTCACGAGAATCTTGGACGGGCATCAAGGTCTCTGCGTTGTCGAACGCGAGCCCGCATTATTTCCTGCAAACCTATCTTCTTGGAAGGACTGCAAGTCCATCACCGGCGGGGTACGCATGCACTGCCAACTCAGCGTAGGGCCTCGACACGAATGGATTCGCTGCAATTGCGGGATGAGGCCGTCGCCATGGGGCGTTGGCATTGCAACTTAATACCCTTCGACCGGTGGTAGGACACTCAGTGCACGTGGGCAACGTACCTTGGGTACATTTGCATGACAGGTTGGAAGTCGTCGGATCATCGAACATGCAGTCTCCGGCAGCCTGGTGCGTCCCACACAGGTACGGCGAACGTGGTGTCGTTTTTCGCGTTGTCGCACATGTGCATGGGATTCAAACGAGCTAGCTTGACCGCATAGAGAGAGCTGGCCACAAAGTGTACTCGAGTTTTCGTGGACGTGGAGAAATTTGCATGAAAATCAGAGTGCACCGTGTCTGCCCTGGTGGTCGGTCGACCGCGTCCTCGCAGCATTCGTTGAGTGCATCGCTCGTGTTGTCTTGTGGGGAGTGACTCATGCGCATGAGTCGCGTGGGCCACCGCGCTGCATCGTGTGCACGCGGTGTTGATCGATCCCGTAGTGGTCAAGGCGGACTCCATCATGTTCTGCCAATTCTTGCCACGTCGTGTGGCCCCACACCATACGCGGTGGCTAGAGGAGTCCCCTCGCTTGGAGGAAGTCGATGCCGCTTGGCAGTGCGATGGGCTAAGGATGCTGATGACCTCGGACTTGGAGTTCATGGAAGTTGTCGCATGCGTGGTCGACGTACATCTTATCGACGCGAGGGTCCGAGTCGTTCAACACGGCGGCACACTGCTTCGTATGGGTCATCTTGACCGAGTTATACTGAGAGGCACGAACACCTCGTCGCCACTTGTTGTCATAGGCGCGCGCCTGGTGGACCATCGTGCCTTGGACACTTGGCGGTTTGTGATGTCGTTGTGGTATGCTAGACGAGTGGGTATCAAACGACAGTCGACGTCGTCATCTTGTGCTCTCCCTGTTCCTATAGCTTGACCTAGTCCTTCGTCGAACGGATTATCGAAGGTTGCGTCATTGCCATCGCGCGATGGCAGCACGGCAATACATGACTTGAGCCTGTGGGCGACGGTTTCGCGAAATATTTGAAAAAATAGAATCCAAGGGAATTAACCTGCCGAAATATTCGGAAATGTTGTTGGTCATACTCGAGGCGGAAATTCCGTTGAACGTTTAGAGGTGATGTGTGGAAGTGGATCGGGCGGGGGCAGGTCGAACAGGATCAAGATTGCCGTCGACTGGGAACGACGAAAATGGGATGCCAGACGGGGGGCTCGGGAATTGAACAACGTTTTTCGTGTCACGACGATTTGATGCGGAATTTTATCGACGGATTTTTCGATAGCAGATGTGCTCTCTGGAAATTAGCAATACTATATATTGTGCTTTCGAGTCAAATTTCCGGATATCGATTGATTTCTTCAACCAATCTCAAATCTCGCGTAAGGATTTGATTGGCTGATGCATTGCACAGTCAAAGCACAAAGCACTTCTTCACTGTCGACGGAAATGAGCGCGATTGAATCTGCGGTCCACCGGCATGCAAGCCCCAACACGGTGATGCATTGCCTATATGGTTACTTCTTCCTGGAATGACTTCGAAACGAGGAGCCAATCAAACTGCTCAAATTTAGAACTAGCCAATGGGCGAGGTTTGTGATAGGTTCGGTTGGCGTGATTCGATTGACAGTCGTCCGGAAATTCGTATCAAATCAACAATACACTCAGCGTCAACAACTAGGGAACACTGGCATTTTTTGTGATATCTCAGCAACGAATGGGAGTTAGGAGTCGCTGTTTGAATATGTCGTGTGCATTTGCATGTGTGACGCGTGACTCTACCTAGTGGCTCCAAAATTGACAATTTACAACGTGTTTCCATACAACAATCAAGTTCTGCCTTGTGACAATATCATGGAACACTTTGATCGATACAAAGACTCATATTATGAGTGATTGTAACATTCTAGAATGTGTGTAACACACGCCTCTTCATTCTGGGTTGCAGTCACTTTCCATCATGCCACGACAACGCATGACCGAAGAGATGCGTGGCCGCATCATGGGCCTGCGTGAGGCCGGCATGTCAATGAGATCAATCAGCCGCATCACTGGCAAGTCGCCCTCCGTTGTGTCTCGTTGTCTCCGCCGCCGTGGTCGGCAAACAAAACGGCCGGGACGCCCATGTGCGCTGAGCGAGCGCCAAACAAGACAAGTCTTGCGTGCTGCCAGTCGGACCGGCGTCAGTGCCCCACAACTGAACAAGGAATTGAAGCTCGAATGCTCCACGCGTACGACGCAGCGACTTCTGTCAAAATGCGACTTTTTGACGTACGCCAAGATGCAGAAGACTCTGCCCCTTACGCCAGAGCACAAAAGACTGCGCCTGGAGTGGGCCATGGCGCACGCACAAGACGACTGGATGCATGTCATTTTTTCTGACGAGAAAAAATTCAACTTGGACGGCCCCGACGGCTTCAAGA